TCTGGACAAGAATGATGTCCTTTGATTTCTCCCGTGCTTTCTTTCAACCCTATCCAGCCGCTCCTATTCTAAGGGCAGCGGGGGGTCTGAAAGCGATGCGGGTGGATAGCATGCTGTCCTGGACTATGGACTGAGGCTCTCTGACAGGCAGAGGCTCCTCTTCCTGCAGGGCAGTATGGATGCAGCCTGGATCAACAAAGGGACGCCCCCGGGTTACTGTATTATTCACTCTCTACACCTCCGCTTTAAAGATTCCACTCAGGGTCACGGCAGCTCAGCAGAGTCAGTGGATGGCTCCTCTATTGTGGGCTGTGGAGGTCAGGGCAAGAATGGAGAAGTCAAGTGTGCCAGAAGGATGCTGTGTGCTGCTACAACGCTCAACATTTGCAGATCAGTGTAACCGAGCATTAAGAAGTGGATTTCAGCCTGTCACCACAGCTGGAAAAATGACTTGAATACTAGAAAGCTCCTGTGTGGAGTTTTTGGATGGTTATGAAATAGGCCAAAATTAAAACATGTCTCTATGAGATCTACATAAGCAAACAAGAGAATCAGGAAGACGATTGATTGTGTCCATGTTGATAGACAGTAACAAAAAGCTGCTGAAAAACAGCCTTTTATCACATTTTGAATTGCCCCCCGGGGACAAATAAAGTTTTTTGAATTTGAATTTGAATTTTCCATAGAAAAGTTTGTCAAAGAGAAATCTCTTGCCAAAAATCCACTCTGATCCTGTATTTGATCATGTCTATAAACCCCTCTATAGAACAGGCTGTTCTGTGTCTGTACCTTTAAATGTAAATAATCTGTGTCTGACCACGCCCCCTCTCCTGAGGGGGATGTGGCTAAGGCTTTCTTACACCATGCCCAATTGTTTACGATGAGTAGGCAGTCTCTAACAGAGGGCAGAACAAACACCTAGCTGTGGGACTGTCACCCACCTGGGGGAGGGGTTACTGCCCTTCGTGATGTCATGAAGGGAGAATCATCAAACTGCACACATCTGGAAAAAGTGGAGCAGGCAAAAGACGGAGAGAGGATGGACTTTTCTCATAATTGGGGAGTTTGTAGACAGACTAGGGACACATATAGTCTATTTTGCATAGTATGTGACCTTTAATAGAAGTTTTTTTCACAACATATCCCCCCCCCCTGCATCCCATGAGACACCGACCTTTACATTGCTACATAATAATAATCAGTGTTCTTCTGGATGGTCTGGTTTGATTTTGTAACACATTTAGAAGCATCAGTAATTAATTTCTGTCTGTTTTACACCCAGGTAACAACTCCTCCCAGTACGGATTAAGAAGAAATACAGACGCTTGTGTAAAAAAGAGCTGAGTGAAACTAGAAGTACAGATTCATTTCCTTCACTTTAGGAGTAAGTGAAGAAGTGGAGGCTCTGAAATATACTCACAGTATAACATTAAAAAGGAGCCTGTGGAAGGAGACTTCTACAATGACAATGATGAACATTAACTCTGCTTTGATGTGCAAACCAGTTATACTGGAAATGTTTTGCAGCTCTGAATCTGCTCTGAAGTCTTCATCATTGATGGTCGGTTCTTTTCATCCTTTTACAACTTTCTCCCTGTCAGTCGCACACATCCCATCTTCTCCAGTTAGTCTCTTGTCTTAATTTATCCTTTTCACTGTGTTTGTCATGTAACGTCTGCTCTGCCTGATATGCACTGATGGATATGTAAAAAGAATAGTCATGTTATTGTCATTGTGTGACATCTCATGTGTTTGATAAGTCATATGCCAAGGATAGCTCCGTATGTGTTATTGACCAATCCATTTAGAGGTTTATTGATGTTCCTATTGGGAAGGTAGTGCACAAAGATCCACCATCTTGGGGGAAGAGAGACCGCCATCGTGCCTCTACAAAAAGTGTCCCCGAGTGGGCAGGGCAGAGTATCATTGAAAGAGTACAATAGCAGGACAACTAGAAGACTTTCCATCAGAAGAAAATACTTTTCTCGGTCTGAAATACTTCAGAGAAATAAGAAGCAAATCATCTTTGGGCTGCGTATCAAAATGTAGATCAGTATTACAAACAGCTCGACCCAGGAACGCTGAGTGAGGGGGCGGGAGAGTAGGGGGGGAAATGTGTCATGGTGACAGTGACGGTTTCCCAAAGAAGAGCTTTGTTTTGGTCCAGATGACCAGATGCTGAAGTGCATACCTCTACTGGACATCTACTCTGAATGTCACATATTATACCTTTAAAGCCAAAGCAACTTGAAATGTGAAAGCTCCTGTGAGGAACTTCAGATTTGCATCAATTTTGGCGACCACTGTGGACAAAGCAGTGTGCTATTTTTATATCTCTTCATTGACATGTGTAGGTAATGTTTCCCTCTTATCTGAGAGTCATATCACTCACTGTGAATCGATGATTTGAAAAAAATCAACATAGACTGTTTTGGCAGCTCAATTCATCTGACGACACCCACCCTGCAGCATTGGTTACAAGTATAAAGAAATACCATTTAGAATTTAAAAATGTTGCCCCTGGTCTTGTTTGCTTGTTCAAGTCATAAAGAGTCATCAATATTAATTTCAGTTTGTTTAATAAACAACAAAAATGTCCTCACAGGAGCTTTAAAGTAGAAAGTACAATCATGTGTGTTCAAATTTAATGTGAAGCATAAAACTTGTTTGAATTATAAATTGTAAAAACTGAGAACAGATAAGTTGTATTCTTCCTAACTACAGTAATAAAGCATGTAACTAGCAGCCTCTTCTTCCTCTCTTCATCTTTGCAAGTTGAGGAGGGTGAAATGTATTCTCTTCAGGGGATCCAGCAGACTTCTTAAAAAAAGTTCTGGTAATCAGCAGAGCCCGGCGCACATTTGTAATGGCGGAGAATGAAGGCAGGATTAAGACGCTGTGAGAAAGACTCTCTGTTCTCTGAGGCTGCACAGAGCCGAGCGGAGAGGACGAGGACTGAGCTGAACTCTGTCTTAGACGACACCTCCCGCCCCCCTCCGTGCCGAGCTGCTGCTGCAGCTACACAGCAACATTCACCTTCCACCTCGTCTTCCCAGAGTGCATCAGCAGGCTGTTCAAACAGTGATCAGACTGTACAGTAATTCTTATCCAAATACAGCATATCTCAGGCAGCGAGGAGCTGAACTGTACTGCCCTGCACTGACAGCGAGAGGTACTGAACGTACACACTGTTATATGCATGCCAATGTGAATACATTACGGTTTCATTACCGGGGGCTTTGAGAGCACCCTGTTCCTGAGATTGTAATTGCAAAATGAAGACAGCAATCAGACCTGTTGTTAAGATCTTTAACACCTCACTGATGTGTGTAACTGATGAGCATATGTTGAAAATCACACTTGTGCTTTCTTGCGTCGTTTCAACTCTCCTTTTTCTGTCTGTCTTTCATCCTTTTTTCCTGTCCATACTGATTTTTTCTTAATTTGTATGAGTGTTTTTCTGATTCTCATTACTGCTTTACACTGTAGGGTTCTACATGTATTTGTTCACTGTTTCAGCCTCATTTTACCAACTACTTCAACATACAGAGAGCACTTTCAAAGCTTGATCCATAGGCCAATGGACTTGGTTGAAGATCTTGAAGACATTTTTTTTTTACCTCTCCTCTGAAAGGTGGAGGTGAAATGTCCAGATGTCTTTGGATCAAGCTTCAAATGTACCATGACCTGGATGACTGAGAACCTACACAGCCTTACAGAGAGCACCAACCTGGGAAGGAACTACTGCCGTTGCAATATGTAAACTTGCTTCTTCTCAATTATCAGTTATAGAAAAATACATTATTATGGAAAAAAGACGAGGAAAGCTATCAATAATTTGAATATTCTACAAAATAAATCAAATCTCTGTTTTCTGCAAATACTGTGTGTTTGTGTCCTTGAAAATAGCAGGTCAAGTTTTTCTTACCAGCTGATAGCTTGTAATAATTCTATCAACGATGCATGGAAGACGTGAATAGAAAAAAAGGCAATTTATTAAAAAAATATGCATTCAAGCAGCATTGTGTGATTTTACACCCAATGTTTGGCCCCATCTTGTAGGATGATAAGGATCAATTGTGTTTCTTTCCCCTCACCCACTGCCAGGTGGGATGGGCTTCAGCACCTCCTCACCCTAAGTGACACGTCAAAGTATCTAAATGTATATTAAAGGAAGGATGCTCCATCATGTTGACAGATTCTATTAGTTTGCAGTAAAAACGAGTTTGTGTGTGTATGTGATGAGTACACACTTTTCATTTGTGTGGTTGTTAACAGAGTGGGGGCCTGATCATATAATACAGATAATAGGCACACGTAAAAAAAAAGACAGAGAGGAAGGGAGAAGATAAGAAAACAGTGGGACATGTGATAAATACACTCAGTTAAACCCGCTGCTGTGACATCGTGCTGATTGAAACACATATAAGATGAGGTGTGTAAAAACCATGACATGTCTACATAGGAGAGTCAGCCGAATATAAGTGTATTCACACAAAGGGTTAACTGATCCGAAATGAGACTCTCTCTCCCGTCTTCCAAAACATTTCACCAAGTGTAACGAAAACAACACGGCCTTGAAAATGAAAGTCATAATTGCATTTGTAGCACACGCTCCAATCAATACGCACACAACCACCCCCCTCCCGGAGCTGAATGTGAGTATCTCAGCTCTGTGCATCCTCAACAAGACATTAACCAACCGAATCAATAACATTCAAGGGCAATGAGCACGAGAGGCTGCACACCGGGTGTACACCAGCACAACTTGCAAAAAGGCATGCACGCAGGAAACTATCAGTACTCATGAATACATGTGATTAAAAAAAAAAAAAAAAACAAGCATTTCTGCCTCCTCTTAAGATTATGATGACCTTTAGTAACTCCTGGACCGCTGCACTTGATTAGCTGCATCGTGTCAGGCAGGAGTCAATCCCCATGGCGCACAGAGGCAGATGAATGCTGTAATTATTAAACAAAAACACAGTTGGGAGACTTACTTCAACACGGCGCTGTCCCCCTGTCTCACGGTGATGTTGTCCTTTAATACAGAATCCCCGCTCCTGGCTGGAACTCCTGCAGGTACAAGGAATAACAATTTAAGTCCGAGGACGACAAGGCATTTCCCAGGCACCGCTAGATAACCACTAATTCCCATGTTTCTTTTTTTCTTCCTCTGTCACTGCGCAACTTCCAGGAAAACTTGATATTCCCCTTTTCTGCGTCTTTAAGCTGCGGGAACGCAAAATTACAGTCCACAAATAAGATGCAGGATGTCGCACTGGATGTCGGCGGACGACCTGATTTAAGTCCAAGTAAACAGGATTGTTATGAAACACTGTCCGTGTCGACTGGAGAAAAGTGTCTTTGCGCACCAGCAAGCCGCTCTAGGAAACTGACTCCGGAGGAGAGAAAAGCGCAGCGTTTCACGGAGAAATGTGCACCGTCTCCTCCGCTTCAAACTGTTATATCGCCGTGAAATGGATGCTCTCACAGAGATGCATCAGCCAAGACTCCTTATGTTTGTTTTTTTTGTTTTTTCTCTCTCCCTCCGTGTTCTCCTTTCTCTCCGTCGTCTGGGTGAGACTCTGTAAAGCTGCGTACTCGGAGCGAAAGCCTGAATTCGCTTCAGTATCTTTTTCTCCCTAAGTAGGCTACAGCTCCTCAAGTACTCACTCTCTCTCTCTCTCTCTCTCTCTCTCTCCCTCTCTCTCTCTCTCTCCTAATCGCCAGGTAGCATCTCTTGCCTGTACCATCAGGACCATATGGCGCGCAGCCTGCAGTGTTCTCGTATGTGGCTCCCAAACTGGAGTCCAGGGACCTCCGTTGTGTCCTTAATCCTCTTTCTACAAACATATTTAGAAGGACCACCGACTGGTTTAAAGGTATAGCCTAATGTAAGAAACAAGCTTCATGATATATTAAAAAAAACAACACACATTATTAAATTGTTAAACCTACCATCTGGAGGGAGGATAATTAATTCATTGGGGAAGTTAATTTGAGGAGCATATTCTTAAAATATGTCTTAAAATGTATGGATCGGGTTTATTGCTTCCTGATAAATGACAGTGTGCTCTGGGAAGCAATGATATAAAGTGAAAAGAAACACATTTATTTATACTTATTAAAAATGGAATCATGCAATAAAAGGGGCTGAGACATTGACTGCTTTGTGGCCTGCAATTAGCATAAATTAGTTAAAAAAGGTGACATATTTTAGAGAATAACCTTTAAATATATCATACTGTAGACTCATAATATAGACAGGGATGGCTGGTCTGAAAGGGCTAGGAGGTCAAGTCCCCCCCCTTACTTTTTTAGCCTACAGTAAAAATAAGAAAAAAAAAAAAATTGATGGAACATTAAGTATCAAACCTAATAATTATGATAAATCACACAATATCTCCAAATTGCCCAAGCACTGTGGCATCCTCCTGTTTATGTAAATGAGTGACAGGTGTCATGCCCCGCCCACTTCATTTGCAAAATTAATTCATCCTACAGTTCCCGCAGACTTGTGACCAATGACACAACAGAGTCTAAAAAAACTAGCTTAGCATCTCTTAACTTAAGAAACTATCTATTTAATGTAACATTCACTGTGATTGTGATGCTAATCATTTTAGCACGTTTGTGGTCAACAAACTAAGAAAAGATCCCAGTCAATATGTGAGAAATTGTGCCCTGCCCCAAATGTTTTGTACCAGATGCCACTTATATGCTTTTATTAGATAGGACATCTGAAGAGAGACAGGGAATGTTGGGATGGGAGAGTTATAATATGCAGCAAAGGTCTGAAGTCAGATTTATACGACAGCTGTGATGAGAACCATAGCCTCCGTACATGGGGCGTGCAATATTACCGCAAGGCTATCGGCACCCCGGTATTTAGACACAAACACATCAGACGCTCACTTATTTTTGACTTTCTTTGTCTGCACTGTAAACATTGAAATGGTGTGAAGAACAAACAGGTGACAAAATTAAACCCAGAATTATTAAATGTCACAATAATCTCTTTGACTGAATCAACTTTAACAGCAGGGTTGTATCTCAGTAAGTGCTGCAGCTCTTTGTTGATGTGCTGTGAACCATTAAAGAGAGAGATCCTGGGCGACAAAATCTCCTTGAACGTGAGTCATAGTGAGCGTATCAAATATTTATGGTCCTTCGTTAGGAATTTTCACCTTTGTATGACACAGACCTACATGAAAAAAAAAATCATTTTGTGAGAAAATGTTTCAATGAAGGTTTCTGGATTAGAGATTCTATCGAAGTGAGCGATGATTCATGACCCTGATTACCTGGAACACTTTCATCCTGTTAGTTTTGGGCTGGACATGTTGAATATGCCTAAATAAATGTGTTTGATGAATACAGCAGACCTCTTTGTATTTCAGTGTCAAAGATGTGTATACACACTACACACTTGTAGCGTGATGGGGGGGTTACCAGTTACTATAACACCTATATGACTGTTTCTGCCATACGATTCCAGTCTGTTTGAATAATAGACTGATTGGAGTATGGACAGCACACACCTCACAAAAAGTGAAGGCAAATGATTTAGAGCTCCCCCTGCTGACTTGCTGCAGTATAGGTCATAAACCCCGCCCCCTTTATTTTTAATAGATTGGACATGGTATGAAAATGAAATTAATAAATATGTTCAGATGCTTCTTTTGGAACCCAACTTTTGAGATTTGTGTTCAAACATGTTTTTTTTCTGAGATTTTTTTTTTTTTAAAGTAGTTGTTTGAAGCTACCAAATTGTATAAAATGCGATGAATGACAGCTCTGTTAACAGCGGCACTCTGTGCACTGGATTAGTGGAGTAGAGGAGGAACAACAGTAAGAGGAAACGAAACAAAACACTTCCAGAAGAGTCATTGAAGCAGACACTCAGGGTTATGAAAAGTTCAAGGGGACACACAAGTCCCTGCTGTGGACACGACTGACATTTCATAATGTAAGATGTTGTTAGTTTTTTGTCAGTGGAAGCGGAGTGACGTCAATACTTGAACTTTATCTTAGTACAAAGGGAAGAGGTTAAGGCATGGTATCCATCTGTATATGCAGTCTATGGTCTGAGCTTAGCGACAACCTCTGGGCTGAAAAATGAAGCCATTGCAAAATGCAATTCCTCAAATGGCCACTTGAGGCTGACTCAAAAGTGACTCATAGAGCCACATGGTAAGACAGTCACACTATTTTTCCAGCCTGGTATGAAATATATATTCCCTGCTCTTCATTGTTATTTCTCTTCTTATGAACGCATATACAATTTTGATGAAATGATATTGATGCTTAAGTTATGCATAATTAGGGGCGTGGCCTTTATGAGTGACAGAGGGGTGCCAACTGTCAACTGTCTGCTTAGCATCACCTCATCAACTCTTCGTCTCTTTGTGGTGTTGGTTCATTGGAGATTTTTGCCAATATATGCACGTATCAGACGAGTAATATGACTTGAACTGTTGGAAATGACTAAAACCTCATTTAATGAGTGTCTGCTATATTTTATTTTTACGTAGTTCTGACTATTTATTAGCACCAATTGCATTATCTATATCTTGTCTATATCTTTCTACCGCATGTTGTAACCTCATTAAGTGTTTTTGATTTTGTGGTGGTCCATGTGAGATTTTCCTTCTCAGATATATGTCTGGCCTTCTCTGTGCCTTGCGTCCATTATTAAACAGCCTCTTAACGGGTAGGGACACCCAATTCAAAGTGAATATCAAGAAGGTTTCCAGATACTTAAATCACTACATATTCAATTTAGATCTAAAACGATTCCTTGTACTTTCTTGAACTCAAAGGATGCATCTGCCTAAACAAATTAAGCACAAGTTTTTGCAGTTTCCTCTGGTTGCTTGGCAATGACAAATGGCATGAAATAGTTATTTTTAATGAAATGTTGCCCCATTCACCTCCACCTGCAAATGGCTGTATTGGTGTATTTAATTAAAAGCTACCAAACATAACCTTCATGTACACTACATAAATGAGAGACCCCCCCCCCCATACAAAAATTTAATTTAATCAGTGAAGTTATACTTGTGCCATCTTGCACTGAGCTCGGCTGTAATGAAAATATCTGTGATGATGTCCTAGCCGTGTTACAGATTGTTGGAGGTTTTGTTAGGGGTCATTTTTTGGAAGGTTTGCAGAATATCCTAATACACTCTTTGTTTGAAAAAAAGCGACAGAAGGAGGGGAACTTGAAGGAAAAAACACTGAAGTTAATACACATCTAAAAATCACCAAAACACATTGACTTTGATGCTCCTGCACTATTTCTCTTACCTCAAACACACACACACACACACACACTTCTGTATGCGTGCAGCAGACTCTGGCCACTGGGGATGAGGGTGGCACTTTGCTGCACATCTAACTGCAGCTCTCAGAATTAATATGACAGCTTTTGAATCTCACGAGAAGACTGAACAAGATAATTTCTTTACCTTAGCATCAATTTGGCATGCTGTTAGGATATTGGACACGAGGCGACAGATGACAGTGCACTGACAGCTTCTGACGCCATCCGCTGGCAGAGATTCCTGATAAGTGACATGCGGCATTGTTCCCGTCTGGTGTCAGAAGTTTGTGCAGGTTTTGAACGCACTGACGGCTTGTGTTCGGAGGTTCTGTCTCCTGTTGTGTGTTCATCAGTCTTTTCTCCCATGAAAAGCCTGTTTTGTGAACCACAAGAGAAATACACTGCAAAAAAAATATTTTGAGTGCAATGAATTATCTAACTTTGTGTGTTATTTTTTCATAAGAAGAAGGCATTTCTTTTTTATTTATCTTTGAACATTTGAACTCTCAATATTTTTTTCCCTTTAATTATGCAACTGTATCACAACCTCTTTTTATGATTTATTACTAGTCTGGTGCTTGAAACTGAAACTGGCTGATACTTGATACTCTCTTTAAGATGTTGACTGTCTCTGCAGAGATAAAGGTGTGGTGTGTATAAGTTCTATACTTAAATATTTAAATTAATTAAAGAGGAAATTATGAAAGCCAGAGAAATCCTTCATTTTATATTTGTAACGGCTCTGTAACGAGTCTGTCATGGCAGCTGCCATGACTTTCATTGCCTTGGTAACACCAGATGTTACAGTTTAGGCGTTCCTATAAGCACATCTCTGTACATGTGTCAGTGATTGTGATTCTCTAGACCAGTGGTCCTCAATTGGTGGGTCGGGACCTTAACGTGGGTCGTGGAGGATTTTGCAGTGGGTTGTGAAAGGTGCGGCTGGGGTTTCAAAAAGTCTATGAAGAACTTTTAAAAATGTTAGATTTTTTATGCTTTTTTTCAATAAACAAATCTCATTGGTTGAACAATATCAGAAATTTGGGTTGCAATTGTTCTATAAGAAGTTTGTGGTGGGTCCCTTCACTCTGATAAACAAATCAATACAATTAGAGCCTCTATGAATTTTATCATATTAAAAAAAACGCTGTTTCATAATTGTATGGTCAGTGAGGTATGACGTCAGAGTGAGATAAATCTGCAATTGTTTTTAAATTATAATTATTTCTGGGATGAATTAATCATAATAAATGCATTATTATGAAAGCCCTACATTATATCTGGATCTTTAGCTCAGCTGTAGCGCTCATGAATGAACC